TGCGGGGCCGCCTCGCCAGCCCCATCTGCCAGATCCCGGGCGACGCAGCTCTCGTCACCTGGTCCGCCCCGAGGTCCCTGGCGTGGGGCCAAGGCGGGGCCACGCGGAACCCCACCGCCTCTGTCTTCTCACCCGGTTCGACCCAGGCCTGTCCGAGATCACAACGGCTCATCGGCGCCTGGCCGGACCTGCTCCTCTGCCCGCAAGAAGCCTTTGACCTTAAGCGGTGATACGCCCCCTCGCCGCGCCCTACACCAGGGGTTTAGGTTAAAACCGGCTGTGAAGAGACTGCTGGGCCACGCGGCCTGGGAGGAGCCTGCGGAGGGGCGTGGTCCACATCCCAGCGGCCCGAGGGAGCAAGGGGGGAAGGCGGAGATGGCCAGAGGGGCAGGACTTCACAGGTGGTGGCCACGCAACCCCTACTCCCACCCCCCAAGGTAGAGAAGGGGGAAGAGGTTATAAGGCTAGATCAAATCCCACTGACCCCCTCTCATACATCCAGTACAAATGACGCCGGTAAAATAACTTAAAAAGAGTAGGCCTGCCGGAGAGAAAGGGTGCCCAGTGGTCAACTTGCGACCACGAGGTATTGGAGTGACCCTGCAGTTGCGCAAGCCCCTGGCTCCATCTTTCTTGGCTGGGATGGAGGAGAGGCACAGTCCGGCAGCCCAAGCAGAGCCATCCGAGGTTGGCCCTGGGTTGCAGGAGGGCCTGCAGGAGGGACCTGCCCTTGCCTTTCCTTAGACAAGACAGAAGTGTTGAGGGCTGTGTCCTGGGGCCCAAATTCTCTCCTGTTAAAAGAGCCGCCAAACTGGTCACTGGAAAATGGATAAGGAAGAGAACTCAGCTGCAGCAAAGAAACCAATGAGCAGGAGAGATGAAGAAAATAAAGTTTACTTCAATGGAATTTCATAAAAAATACATTCAGGAAGCTGCCTCCCTGCAGCCCCAAGCCCGGGCCTTGGATGCCAGAAACCCTGTGGCTCCTCTGACTCCGGCAGGACTGGTCACAGCCTGTCCTCACCTCTGGGCTCTGGCTCCAGCCTGTGCTCAGTGCGACAGACGTCGTAGGTAGGTCCTCTTCCTTCTTTCAAGAGGTCGCCTGCAGAAAGACCTCAGGCCACCTTGAGGCCCTCAGGGCTGGCTGTTTGCCGTCCTCATGTGGTGGAAGAGGTTACAGGTTGGAGGGCCCTCCGGCCTCAGCCTGCACCTTCATAATCAGCAGCCAAGACCAGGGACGCCTCAGGGTTCAGGGTCCCAGACATACCACGAAGCCCTAGACCACAGACGGAATAGTAACAACGAAAGAAGGGGCCAGAATCCAGTAGGGCCATGATGCCCATTCAAAGCCAGCTCCTAGCTGGTGCCTTCATAAGACAGCACAGGCTGGAGCCAGAGCCCAGAGGTGAGGACAGGCAGGTGGAAGTCCTGCGTGGGACTCCTGTGCTCCTCCACCCTGCCCCCTTCTCCCCCCACAGAGCCAACCCCACAGGCCAAGTACCCCTCGGGGGAGGGGAGAACTGGTGGTATCTGCTTTCTGCACGGCGCCCTGGCTGTGACCAGTCCTGCCGGAGTCAGAGGAGCCTGAGCGGTACACCTGCAGACATGAGTTGGGAATATGGTGGGTTAGAAAGTGACCAGTTCAGCTTAGATCCCTCCCCCAGAACCGGAGGCAAAGCTGCCTTAGGAACGTGACTACTGGGAAATGTGGAGTCTGAGAAGGCTAGGACACCTTCTGTCGCACTCCTGTGAGGAGGGACGTGACTTGGAAGGGAGGTTGGAGGAGTAAGATAAGGAATGTGCTTTTAGCTTTAATGTCTATTAAATAAGTTGCTGAGAATCAGAGCTCAGGTGTGGGGATCTGCCAAGGGCCGTGTCCCAGCCCTCATGTTCCAGTGCGGCCCCACCCAGAGCCAGGAAAGCTCTCCAGGCCGATGGGCTAGGAAGTCAGGACGCAGCCGGCATGGGTCAGATGGAGAAGAATCCTCAGGCTCCCCGTGACTGGCATGGTTGGGACCCCACAGCCCACGTCCTGCATCCTCCCCGTCCTCACGCAGGGGCAAGGCCCTTGCCCTTCCGGTGGCATCCACGCTGGCGAGATCAAGGCTGCCAGCTGCTCCCCAGGGCCATCCAAGCCTCGGATGGGTGGCTTGGAAGGATGGACCAGGCAGCATCTCTCAGTGCGACAGACGTCGTAGGTAGGTCCTCTTCCTTCTTTCAAGAGGTCGCCTGCAGAAAGACCTCAGGCCACCTTGAGGCCCTCAGGGCTGGCTGTTTGCCGTCCTCATGTGGTGGAAGAGGTTACAGAAGAACTCGTACCAGAAGAACACGAGGCCGGTGGAGAGCGCGGCCTTCAGCAGGCTGGGGGACAGGCCCTTGTAGAAGCCCCGGGCTCCCTCCTCCTGCAGCACCTGCTTGGCGCAGTCCAGGAGGCCCCTATAGCTTCGAACCTGGGGAGAAGGTGACTGGGTGAGGGGAGAGGTGATAACAACATGGATGTTGGCTCTATCCTTCTGTCAACACTCCTTGCACATCATAGCTCCCGGTAAATACTTGCTGATGAAGGAATGAATGCAAAAAAGAGAGAAAAAGAGCCTCATCTTTTCTCTTCCACGTGGGCTAATTTGGACTGAACAGCTGAACTGCCTGGAAATCAGCACTGCACAGAGCTCCTTCCTGCCCAGGAGGCTCCCACTCGCGGGGGCTCTTGAGGACCCACCAAGAGCTCTGGACCCACTTCGCACAGGCGCCCCTGACCCTTTGCCCCATCCCACCTGATCCCCCTTGGGCCAAAAACCTGATTCTGGCCCTCGTTAGCTTTTAGCCTGACCAGTGTCACCTCTCCAGCCTGGCCTCCTCCAGTTCTCCATGCACTGCTGCCGGACTGTGTTCACAAGACACAGCTCTACTCAAGCCTTGCTCCCATCCAAAAGCTCCAGTAACTCCCAGTGACGATGATGACGACAGTGACATTATAAAGAACCAAGTCCAAGCGTGCGGCCTGGTGCTCATTTGGCCTCAGCTTCCCTCCCTGCCCTGCCTGCTATTCCCTACCGTCCCTCTTCTGACACCTGTCAGGCACTTTTCTTCACGTCTCGACAGCCCGGGTTCACAGGTTCCAGAGGGGACAGCCCGTGAATTCCTGCCGTTGGGCCTGCCTGCACCGCCCCCGTCCACCACCATGGCCCGTCACAAACTTAGTGCTCCAGGAGGAGGGGGTGAAAATCCACCACAGAAAAATCTAAGCAGATTGAGGAATGACTAGTAACGTTACAGAGGTGCCTACAATATAGGCTTCTCTGACTGACAAACCCTTCTAGTGCCTTTACAATATAATTTCGTTGATTAAATTTAATTCACCCCTTTCCAACACCGATAGCACAAAGCAAAGACCCCCCCATGCAGCAGTGCGAGTCCCCTTCTCCGCGTTGGGACTTTGGAGACCCTTCTTATGAGGTATACTCTTCATCCTGAACTGAACTGAAGGCTTTTTAAGCACAGATGCTGTGAATTCTCCTTTGACTGGATCTTTCCACAGGGCTTTGCGTGTGGCTTTCCCATGTGCCCAGGGATCCCCAGGTACAGGCTGGGGGTGAAAGGGCAAGGAGGGCTAATGTTGCCCCCGGGGCAGGAGCTGACCGGCGCAGGGGGCGTAGGGCAAGGATCAGAGCTGTCTGCAGGCGGGGCAGCTCACCTGGCCGAAGGTGACTCGGGCCTGCTCGAACCCTCCGACCTGCAGCCGTTTCTTGAAGAGGTCCAGGGGGTACGTAAGGGTCTTGCTGATGACTCCAGCTCCACTGCCACACAGCAGGTTTTTGAGGTTTCCTGAACCAGAAAAGTGGGATTGAGGGGAAAAATGAGTGAAATGCAATCTAGGGCAGACGACTTCAAGGTCATGAGGTCTAATCCCCCACCGTAAAACAAAACCCCACAAGCATCCTTGCCCTCCGAGGAATTTAATCCAAGAGACAGGAAACCAGACGCAGCCACTCTTAGCAAGAAAGACAAGGGACTGAAGATTGGGCAGGCTGGTGGCAGGAGGGGTGTGACCTTCCCAGCTGTGCTCAGTTCAGGCTCATGAGGGACAGGATGCCTCCCCACCCACCGCCACATCCTCCCCAAACAGAAACCAAACAAAACGCACAACCAAAAGCAGGCTGTTTGCAAGTTGGACCTCTGACAAAAATGAAAACCATGACTAGTAGGTGGAAATAAATGTCAATGATGCCACTCATGGGTGTGGCAGGAGCTGGAAGAAATAAAGGCCTCTATAGGCGGCTGGATTCGTTTTGTTGGTGGCATTACAGAGCGGGGTTCAGAGGACTGTGGTGTCTGAGCTTCTGACAGGAGAACTTTATTTCCCATGTGATTCAGAAAGAGACGCTATGGCTTGGGAGTGGGGCGAATGGAGACGCAGGTTCCCTTTCGCGGGAGGCCCTCCTACCGTTTTTCTTCCCTTCGGCTGGCATGGCCCACTCATACATGTGCTTTAAGGAGTTGTAGAAGGAGAACTGGAAGCCGGCGTAGGGGAAGATGGCGATCAAGGTGGGGTTCAAGCCTTTGTAGAAGACCAAGGGGCCTTCGGTCCTGTACATGGTGGCCACGGCGTCCCGCAGGGTTTTATACACCTGGACAGGACACGTGCAACTCAAGTGAGCGGGGTGGGCTAGTTCCAGCCCAAGAACGCAGCCCTCTACATGTACCTCCCCTCACCTACACACCAGCTACCGGGGTGTTACTTCTGCCAAGCTGGACGAAAATTCCAAGAGTGGGGTTCGCCAGCGACTCCCTTTTGAGCTATTTAAACGACTGATACATCCGTGTGAGTGCACAAAGGCATGTGTCCTGCAGAACAGCAGACAATCAGACGTCCACCCTCGGGTGACTGGTACGTAGATTACGGCACACCCGTTCAAAATAACATGGGAATATGGTGCAACTGCTCAAACAGCAGGTAGCAATCTCTATGACAGACAGGAGCTGATCCCGCAAGAGCTCAGCGATCCCGATCCCGCAAGAGCTCAGGGAAGGAACACGGCAAAATGCGGACGAGGAGGCGCAGTGTTTGCGGAGAAAACGAACATCTGCAGAGATTATAACCTCCCCCTCCCAGGATATACAGGTAACAGTACATCTCCCCACTGCCCTGGCCCCCCGTCCCCCCCCCCACACCTTCCCTCCACCC